GACATTAAATAGTAATAAATAGAAATAAATGGACATTTAAGGTAATAAAATGTGTGAGTCACCAGAAAAAAGAGGAGATCAGTGATTATTCCTTCTCACAATGATGAATGATTGATAAGCCTTTGAACACTTGTGTCGTTCTTGGATCTGGTGGAAATGCTAGACAAGAATCTTGGTAAAAATGTTGTTTTTGTATAAATGCGATAAGATCAGATTTTCCCTTACAAAATCAATGTGTTCTTTACAAAACAATAACTTGTGTCCCCTATCATTATGTCTCTTTCTATTTATAGGGAACATGTTCCTAGAAATCCTAATAGTACAAGTGCAGAGAATATCTATTAGAATATTCTCTTTAATGTCCTATTTTGAAACTAGTCGTTACAACTCTGTCAAGGGTGTTCGACCTCGAACTCGATATTTGATGACTCATCGACCTTAATCCTTGCTGGCTCTTCGGCCGCAACCTTCTTTGTTCCTTGAACCACTTCGCCACACGGCCTATGATTGTCTCGCTAATGCTATCATGACTTATGCATTTTAGAGATGAATTTTGACCCATATAGTTGGTCCCTCCGCTTATTAAGGTCAACTTCGTGGGCGAGTTCGATGAGCGGATTATTATGTTGGAGGTTGAGCCAATCAAGCGGACTATGCGGGTCGTGGTTGTTGTGGCGAGCAGGCGACATGGCCCTCTATGAGCCGCACAATTCAAATGCTTCGAATTTTCCGAGTGATTTGCTAGAGTTACCATGTCCAAGAATTAGGATGCCGTCTGTTGTTACCCAATTTTTCCCTATAATATTTTTCAAAATGCATATATACCTCCAAAACTATGCATTAGCATCAATTAATATTTCTCCATAATTTTCTGTATTTTTAAAGGTTTTAATTAATTTTTCCCAGTGTTCTCATTTATATAAACAATTACTAATTGCATCACAAATAGTTTTATAATAAATTTGTGGCTTAATTTTATCATTTGCATTTGTACTAAGTTTTACTTATTGCACAAACAGCCACATTTGCATTTTTGGGGTTATAATCACAATCACTTTGCAATTATAGCCCATGCATGCATTATTGCATTATTCTACCAGAAATAGCTTTTTATAATTTTTAAATACTAAATAATTATTTTAAAAGATTTCTAGGTATGAAAATCATTTTTTGTAATCTGTTAATTATTTTTTAAAATTATTTTTATCAATAAAATGGGTATTTAACAAATGGCCCCTTTTATTTTTCGAACCTAGCTTAATTAAACAGCCCAAATTCGGTCCCAGTTCAATTAAAACCGGCCCAAACCAATCAGACCTAGCCCAATTAAATCCAACCCGCCCCAACCCCAGGATCAATCGTGATCGTTGATCTCTAATATCAACGATCCGTATCATTCCTTTCCTTTTTTAATTCCCAAATACCCCTAACCCTAATTCATTCTACACAAAACAGCCGCCCTAAAACTCCTCTCCTCTCCATCCTTCTCTGAGACCCAACCCTAACCTAGCCGCCGCCACCCAAAAATAGCCCTAATCCCTCCGATTCTCACTTGATCCATGGATTTCCATGGGTGTTTGAGACCCCTACTGGCCTCCTACTTCCCCTGGTTGCTCGATTTTGTGATTTCATGGAAAGATCTCGAAGAGATCTAGTCCAGATCTTGTTTAAAACTCTCTAAGAGTCTGTCTATGGTCTGTGAGTGCTTTCTATCGATGTTTTACGGCTCAAATCTCTAATTCAAGACCAGATTCTTTTTACCCTATCCTTTTTCTTCAAAACCCTAATGTTTGGACTTGAATCTGTCCAGATCCTTGTAGATTTCGAGCGATTCTGAGTTCATCACTGATTTTTCCTTAAGGTTCCCCTATTTCTTTACTGATTAATCGATTTTTTTAAGCACTTTGTTATATTAGGGTTTGATTTTCTCATTATTAGTTGGTCAAATCCCTGTATCTGAAGTGTTTTAAAGTTTCCATGACCGTTTTCCTTAAGAATTTTCTGATTCCCTACTGTTAATCAACTCTTGGTATTTTTCAAAATTAAGGTTCCTGCTTCGTCTAGCTTTGCAAAGGGTTTTCTGAAATTTCTCATGTTTTTGTTTAATCTTTCTGTAATGACTATGTTCCAGGCTTGATTGTTTGACTGTTTCGTTGTTTC